GAGAGAGAGAGAGAGAGAGAGAGAGAGAGCACAAGCATGCAAGGGGCTAGGGATGAAATACGCCCTGATCAGTATCTATCTCCTAATGTTTCTGCCACCTCCCAATACTGCCACAAGTGGGGTCCAATCCTTCAAATCATGAGCCTTTGATCTAAACCATAACAGATTTCTATGCCAGCAGAATGTCATGATATGAGAATAGGGACCAAATATTTTGCTAGTGGGCCTTTCTCTGGAAGAAATATTGAGTGGTGCCTCTTCCATTTCTACTCCTTGATTGCTGGACCCATGAACCTTGGCTATAAGAGAAATAGCACCGTATACTGCATGCTGATCCAGCACATATTTAATCTCCTGAAAAATTTGCTCTAGTACTGCAAGGCTTTGACTCTCCCAGCTGATGCTGTCTGTAACTGTCTTAAAATTTCATTCCTCTGGGGCTGGGGTTGTGACTCAGCGGCAGAGCACTTGCCTTGCACATGTGAGGTACTGGGTTTATTCCTCAGCACCACATGAAAATAAATAAAGATATTGTATCCATATCAAAAAAGATCTTTTAAAAAAATTTCATTCCTCTGTTCTTTCAAACCTTCTGCTCCAGGATGGGTTGGGGGGAGGGGGGGACATGGTACAATCAGTGGATTATATGAGACAGGGCTCATTGCCATACTTCATTTGATGTTAAACGAGTTTCTTAAACAGAAGCCATGCTGTGTGGAATAACATGTCGGTGGGTAAGGCATTCTGTAAGCTGATGGATAGTAGTTTGGCAAAAACACTGTATGCAGAGAGAGCAAAACCATATACAGAACAAGTGTCTACTCCAGTATGATCAAAACACTGTTCCTATGGAAGAGGTCCAATGTAATCTACCTGTCACCATGGAGCTGGCTGCTTACTCTGGAATAGTGCCGTATGGGGCTCAGTGTTGGTCTCTGCTACTGGCAAACTGGGCACTCAGTGGCGTCTGCATCCAGATTGCCTTGGTGAGTGAAAGTCTATGTTGCTATCGCCGAACATAACCTCCAACCTGTCACCATGTTCAACTGGGCAGTGACAGGGGTGGCTGGGGAGAAAAGCTGAGGATACAAATATCTTCAGCTTTTTTTTTCTAATTTAGAAAAATCTATCCACATGCCTCTTCCCCCCAATTTTTGTCTCTAATTTTCCAATCATGTTCCTTCCAAGTTCATTTCCATCCAAACTGTTGACCACAGTCCATGAATCACATAGGTGGCTATTTCTCTTTCCAAGAAAGGTGAACAACCAGGTGCACTGCCAGAAGGTCTGCCTACTGGAAGGATTCCCCTTCACCACTATCTTTGGGGGTGGTGTCCTGGAAGTGGGCTGTAAAGCTTCAGCTCTCTGCTTGCAGATGCATACATATTGCAGGGAATCATTGTGAGCCAGGTGTGAGTCTTCTCTTCCTCTGTCAGCTGAGGCAGGAGCAGGGATCATGAGCGTTTTGATCACTTCTTCATGAACTTACTTGTGCTTTGTGGGCCTCTCCTCTCCAGTTACATATGTAGCATTTCGATTTGATGGTATACTAGTGAGGTGTGCCCAGTTTCATGGCTTGGTGGTTCAGAGAACACTCAGTTCTTGGTGAAAAACCAAGGATGTATGTAATTTGGTGGATCAGCTAAGTGTTCAGTTTCTAAAGTAGGTCAAGAGTTGTTTCTCAAAAGAAGAGTAGATATCTGCTGAGAATAAAGAACTTTTCTCCAAAATCCTAATGCTTATGCCGAATTTCACCTATAGGCACCGCCAAAGGCTCCAAGCAGCATCTTCTACAGCTACTGACACTCTCCAAACACCAGTTCAGCAGCTGGATCATATGGTCCAAATGGCAGAGAAGCTTACATGGCAGCCTAGAACTGCTACCATTACAGAGCTTTTCCTTACTCTGGGCCCTCTCAAAATGTAGCTCTTTGGGGCACTCTTTAAATGGCGTGAGTAACATACCCAAATGAGGAAAATGTTGCCTAAAAAAGCCAAAGAGGCCCATTACATGCCTCTTCCTCAGGTTTAGGCAGGGACATGTGCAATAACTGTCTTTGGCTTTAGAAGAGATATCCAACTAGCCCTGCACCACTGGACCCCTAGAAATTTCACTGAAGTAGAAGCCCTGAACTTTGATCAGATTGACAACCCATCATCCTGTATGAAATGTCTTATCAATAAGTCTAGAGTGATTGCTATTTCTTGCTCACGAGGACCAATCAGCATAATATTATCCATGTAATGGAGCAGTGTGATGTCTTATGGAAGACAGGTGTCATGGAGATCCTGGTGAAATAAATTATGATGTAGGACTGGTGAATTGATTACTTTTGAGGTAGGAGAATAGAAGATTATGCTGGCCTCAACACCTGAAAGAAAACTGGTTCTGGTGATTCTTACTGACAGTTAGGGAGAAAAAAGCATTCCTCAGATAAATAGTTGCATATCACATTCCAGAAGATTTGAATTTGCTCAAGCAGTAAATACACATCTGGTAAAACAGCTGCAACTGGAGTTTCCTTTTAGTTAAACTTGTGGTAATCCACTGTCATCTCCAAGACCTATCTATTTGCAGAAGCACAGGCCCAAATGGGGATTAAATGAGTTTAATGGGGATGTGGTAGAAATCACTACCCTTGCAACCTTCAAGTCCTTAATGAGGCAACAGTCTCTGAAATCCCTCCAGGAATACATATTGCTTTGGGTTTGCTATTTTCTTAGGTAGATGCAATTCTAGTAGTTTACACTTAGTCTTTTGCACCATAATAGCCTTCACTCCAAGGTTAGTGAACCACTGTGGGGATTCTGCTATTTGTTAAGTATATCTATTCCAATTATGTGTCTTGAAACTGGGAAAATAATCCCAGGATATATTCATGAGCCCACTGGGCCTGCTGTGAGGTGGAGCTGGATATACATGATGCGTGTGTCTGTGTGTGTGTGTGTGTGTGTGTGTGTGTGTATTTCTCATAATTTGGGTAAAAAGTATGTCTTCTTCATTCTTCCTTCCAGGGTGGGTGAATAGGTCTTAAATAATGAATTCCAATCTCTCTAAGTCTCTGAATTTCTTCTCTCTATTAAAACAAAATAGGTCCAGCAATTCTAACTCATTCATGTGAGTCACGCTGATGTTCCATACATCAGTCAACAAACCAAACAAGTATTTAGAGCCTTTTATAATTCCACGGGCTAAACTATTAAATGCAGTCTCTCTACTTCATGGACTCTAGTTAGTTGAACTGGTCCAGATTTCTTTTCCTTCTAGCACTATCCCACACTCTTAATACAAATTATAATATTTATTTTCTAGATTTTCATCTATATAAATTACGAAACTCACCCGATTCCTTTGCAAGCATAGCATAACTTCTCATTGGTCATACTTTGCATCTCTCCCGTTGAGTCCTGCTGCCACTTGAGTCAGTTCCAGGTCTTGAGCAGAAAGAAGTGGCCCAGGTGCATCATGAGAAGACCCAGAGTCATCTTGCATGATACCTGCCTAAGGGAAGGGAACAATTACAGTTTCTTCTAATTTCCTCAGGTGGGAGAAGAGAGGACACTTTCCCTGAAGGTAGGGAAGTTTCTTCAACTAGGGATGGAGAAACCTCTTCCATTGGCAAAGAAGACTTCAGCATTTTAGGGCTCCATGTTCCTAGTGTCATTAAATTTTTCCATACATCCCCATTCCAACTTGCAGAATTCTATTCATTCCCAATCAGTTTCTTTACAATAAATTATAGACATCCTTGAAGCTGAGATTTTAACTTGTATTTTATTTCAGCAAGTTGCAGGATGAGATTCTGAGTTTGATTTTCAGCAATCTCACCCCTTTAGTTATAATACATAAAGAATCTCCTTCAGGGTATACATTGACACTTTCATGCCATTTATGTAGTACTTGAGCTGGGAATTTTAATCTCTGAGCTCATACTTTTCTTTCCCCACTTTTTTCAATGATGGAACAATCAGCCAACCTCATTATATTCATTAGTTTGAGTCACATATGTGAAATGATATATATATATATATCATTATACAATGTCATTCAGTTTCTTGTATTTTACTAGTGTTTGATTAGGAGTATTTCATAGTAATATTTTGTACATCTCTATTACTAGGTCACATAATGGACTATCAGTGTTTTTTTCTTTTTCATTACTACTGGAAACAGAGTCATTAGCATCTTTAAACCTAATCAGATTAGAGAACCAATTCCTGGAATCCCAGAACCAATTCAGAGAGCATCCTTAAAATCCTGTTCCTCTAAAATCTACTCTTGTTACCAAAAACTGTAGTAGTTTCTTCTCCAAAGAAACTGGATCTATCACAGAGGGATATACCAGTGAACAAAAGAGTTCAAAGTGCTTGCACTACTGGGTTACCTCCTGAGGGGAGGAAAATATAAAATAATTAAATATGTGAATTATTGAATATGTAAATTATATGATAGAAGAAGATAAGCACATCAGCAAAATATGGACCAGGAGAAGGAGACTGGGAATGCTGGTGAGGGAAGGACAAAAGCTTGTCATTTTGAATGGACTCAGGTCTGACAACACAGTTGGTGCCCCTTGAACACTGGCTCAACTACTGCTCCTGTAGAACAACATTGCTATAAATTGCAAGAGTTGACGGATCTCTCCAAGCCTTGGTAAAACAAAAATAAAAGATTGTCTGAAAAATTGAACTCATTAGGCATTTCCAATATTGAGCTTTCTGGTTTCAGACCAATTATAATAAAGCAAGGAGATTTTTATAGCTTAAACTTTGGCTCAAACATTACAGAAGAAACTGGAATGATAGGTGGTAATGGGGAGGTGCTAAGGACTGAACTGTGTTCTCCAAGAGTTCCAAGGTTCTATGTAAGCTCTTACTTGAAGTATGTCTGTACTAGAGAAAGGTCCTTTAGAAGGCAATTTGGGTCAAATAAAGTAAAAAAGGTAAAGCCCTAATCTAACAGGACTGATCCCCCTTACAAGAAGATACAGTAAGAAGATGACCATCTATAAGCCAGAAAAAAAGATCTCTATTCCTCTGCTGAACTCAACCATGCTAATACCCCAATCTCAGCCCTCCAGCCTCCAGAACTATGAGAACTAAATTACTGATGTGTAAGCAACCCAGTCGATAGTATTTAATTAAGGCAGCTTGAGCTGACTCATACAGGAGGGAAGTATGGAAATGAGGCTAGGGAAGTTAAATTCTCCTCATAGGCACATATATATATATATATATATATAGTTGGAAATCACATAGAAATATTCAGGAAGAAACTTGAGTTGTCAAAACTGTGTACATAATGTGTGTATAACTGTGATTCATTGCAAGTAGGGTTTCTGGCTAAACAGAATTCCTAAGCATTTGTGAAATTGAAGGAACTGAGTGCATCTGCCTAATTCCTTCTGAATGGATTTGCTGACTGCTCACAGCCTGCCAAACTGGGACTCAGAAGCAAGCCCACTCTGGAGCAGAGACTCTTGATAGAGCAGGCTGAGAAGACTAACTGGGTTGGGGGAGAGAACGCCATTGTCACAGTCTGCCTGGCTGGACAGTTCCAAGTAATCTGTAGACAGAAGTTTGAGGAAACTTGGACTGGGTAGAAAATGATGAGTTGTAGGCAGAGTAGAGTGTACCCTCCTCTAGGAACACATAAGTCTGAAGAAGGAGATAAAATGGGAGAAAACCTCAAAGGGCAGGGTCTAGCCATTTAGCTTCTGTGCTAGGATGGGTAAACCTGTAGCCATGATTGAATTCAGAGGTGAATGAGAAGGGCACTGCACACACTTTTAGCCGTACTAACCCAGATTTGAGAAAGACTAATAAATTCACAGCATATGTGAGACTCCTCACTTTCTTGTGATTTACAATATGCAAACAACAAAATTCCATCTCCCTGTTTGCCTGACTGCACTCTAGGATTGGCATGAAATAAGCAAATGTTTGAGCCACATTTTAGGGAGAACAAATTCATTTTCATTCATTCATTCATTCATTCATAAGTATTTGTGGTGTACCCACACTGGGCCATGAAACGTTCTTTGGATTAAATAAGAAGCAAGCTAAATGTGGCTCCTCCTGGGGCTTATATTATTATTTACTTCCTCAACTAATTTACTCTGTGATTTTCTTTATAGGAACATCCATTGCCTACAAGGCCACAGTCTAAAAATTTCCTCACAATTTAGCATAGACACATTTATCAGCAAAGAAGACAGAGTCTTTTACTTTGTCTATTCTATCATGTGCAAATTCTATGGGTACCAGACTAGAAATTTCATCTGGGCTTAGAATATCCCAAGAACCTGGTGTCTCTGTGACTATCTTCCCTGGCCTTCTGAAGAAGGAAAAGTATAGGGTGGGGCTTTTGATGCTTTCTTAGGCCTTGAGCTAAAAGATTGTAAAAATCAGTGCTACAGACTATTTTTTTTTATTTAATTAAAATTTATGTTGAAGTGTTTGAGCTAAGTTTTGGAAAGCTATGTTTGCCTGCCATGCAGTCAGCAGCAATGCCAGTTAGTGTTATTTTACTGAAAATAGAGCTGGTTATGTTTCCACTGTGTTAGCACTCCTACTTCTTCTGCTGATCCAGAGAAAGCCTCCCAGAATTGTACAGGAAAAGAAAATTATAGGCGACATTCAGATGTGAACTTTTGCCCACAGTATTGCTCGTAAGTGACCAGGTACTTAAAAAAACCCTCTCATTAAAGCATTTCACATTTTCATACTTGGTATTAAAAGCAGAGCTGGAAGCAGGTAGAAACATGATGCATATAATCAGATGCCTGGGATTTGCCCATGACTTAGAAAAGGCAAGAAGCCAAGGCCTTGACTAACTTTCAGCCAGTGAACAAATTACTTACTAATGCCTGATGGTTCATCTAATCAGCGGTTGGAAGTCTTCTCCCTCCAGAAGTCAGTTGTTAAACCATAGTACTCTTCTCCAGTTCTAGGAAAACGGTCAATATTTAACGAGAAAAAAATGTAGGTTATTTCCTCTCAACACTAGAACCACCTCCTGAGCCAGAGGGTGACATTGGAAAGTATTTCAGAAAAGCAAAGTGAGAGATGTTACGGAAACAGCACTAGACATGGAATGAGTGTTTCGTCATAGCTCTGGGTCCTGAGTAGCTATGTGACCTCACACCTGTACTTAAGCTTTCATTGCAACAGTTCCATCGCCATGATGAGGACCTTGGCCTTACCTGCCTCAAAGGCTGCAGCCATGGCTTTCCATGAAAAATTTCAAACACATACAAAAGAAGAGAAGAGTATAAGAAATGCTATACACTACATCCAGATTCAATGACTGCCTAGATCTTTGTCACACTGGTTTTATAATTTTCCTTTTTTGGCTAATTATTGTCAAGCAATTCTTAGAACCCCAGCCGTTTTACCCCTTTGTACTTCACATTGCATGTCTATAAAATAGAGACAGTTTCTTATGTAACCACAATGCCATCATCAACCCCAACTGAATTAATAATACTCCTTTGAGTTCCTTATCCATTATATCCACATTTCCTGATGTCATCAGAAATGGCATTTTATAGTTGACTTGTTCAAAACAGCATCCAAAATAGGATCTACGCATTGCATTTGGAGATCTCTCTTGGAATCCTTTAATAGAATAGTGATTCCTCCATCATTTTGTTTTTTCATTTTCCTGTTAACTGAAGGAAAGTTTTTTTGTTGGCGGTAGAACTCAGATTCTTACCCACGTTCAGCAAGTGCTCTACCACGGAGCTACATCCCCAGGCCACTCTATTGTACAACTGAGGGTTGTTTAGAAATTTTCACATTCTTGATTTTTCTGCTTGTTTATTCATGATGGAATTTAGCTTGCTTCTCTCTACTGCACGTTCCTTGTAAACAAAACTTCAGCTCCACGGGTTTAATTATATCCAAGTTTGACCCTTCTTAGCAAGAATTCTTTATCTTGTATCAAGTGGTAAAAATTGCTCCCAGAAGAGTAACACTTAAATTGACCAGAGGTTGAGAAGGAAGGACACTCGTCCCTCCATTGAAATATCCTCCACATATATTTTTAAATGATGTTATGCATTAATAAGCTTTGCTTAATTATTTCATTAGACATTGCAAAAAGGTGATTTTCCAATTCTGTCATTTCTTCAATCCTTCCCCATTTATTAACTGGAATTCTATAAAGAAAGACTTTTCTTCATTAACTAGGGCTACTTGGTCACATTGAAACACTGCTTATCTGAGAAAGGAAGAATAAATGTTTAATTAGTTTCCCTTGACTACCAGTTTTCAGAGTGTGAGGTCATTGATTAATGAGTCTTCCTAGATTGAGGGGCAGGGCTATATTTTTTCACTATTACTTCAAACCTATGGATTTTTATAAATTCACTGAGGATTTTTAGCAACTAAGTATATTTGTTTTGATGTTTAAATTATCCTACCATGTCATTAAGAGCCCCTTCAAGCCAGTTTCTGTGTCCTTCGGATGTGACTCAATTGTGTCTTTGCTGTCTGGTATGAAAAAAAATGGCTCAGGCTCGTCTTAGACATTTACTGTCCATATCTGGAACCAGCTGTTCCTCCTCAGGCTCCTGATCCCTTTCCATGGGGCTCGGTCCTTCTTTAAATAATGGGATCATGAACATGCAGGTGTAAACACTGGTGGGCCTAGATCCTTGTTGATACTTGCTTCTGCTGGACCACACTGTCTGTCCAGCAGAGCAAATGTTTCCATGGATTAGGTTTTTCTCCCCCATCCCAGACATTCCCTAGTCTCTGCTCTAATCACCGATACAGGTGGTGAATTTCTTTGTGATGATTTCTGTGACTAAATCACCATCGATTCCTTGGGACTTAGAACAGATCCTGAGACAGGCCAGAGTATTCAATTTTTTGTTTCATAAATGGACTTGTTCATTTTTAAGGTGGCTTTCCTGTCTCCCTCCTTCTTAAATCAGAAATACTTTTAAAAATTCTCATTGAAATTTATGTGGCACCTGACACACTGGCACAAAATAGACATATGTGAATATTGTTGAAAAAATAAATGAGCTTGTGATGTTATGATGCTGTTCTTTTCCAAATCTATCAGTGTTTCCCCTTTGCACTTGAATACATTTTAAATTGCTTAAAGTTGTGTACAAAGCCCTGCATTATCTGGTCCTTCCTATCAGTCTTTTTGGCCCCATCTTCTGCCACTTTTTTTGCCCCGACCACCTTTAGCCTCACAGATTTTCAGTTATTCAAGATGCCTAATTCTACTCTGCTTAGTAGACAGCAAAGACACAATTGAGTCACATCCTCTTACCTCAAACCTGACACAAGTTCCTTTCTTTCATCTCCCCTTCTTCATTCTACCCACTTAACCCCACCTCACCTTTGTCTTTCCTCTTAAACTCATCTCTTAAGAAGGTCTTGCAGGCCATTCTCCCCAGACCCTCTTGCTATGTATTCCTATGGCATTTGTTATTTTGGTACTATAACATTTATCACAATGGTACCATGTCATTACTTGTTTACTGTTTGTATTCTCTACTAGGCTGTAAGTCCCAGCGTGCTCTCTCAATTCCTTAGGAGGTGTTCACACAGTGGCTGCTGCAACAGGTTAGATTCTTTATTAGTAACTGGTAAGCTCTGGGGTATAGGAACCACGTTATTTCTGCCTTTTTAACCTTTTTATCTTCTAGAAAGATTTGGATCATTAGAAGAGATTTGGAAAATGTTGGCTGAGAGGTGAGCTATTGTCCCTAATCCAGGCAATTAGCTGACCTAACTCTGCAGAGAAAAGCATTTCCTGGCACAGCCTATCATTCCAATCCAGAGTCTGAGTTGGAGGCATTTCTCCTCCTCATGCCTTGCAATGCATCTGTATGTTCTCTCCCCACAACCCCATCATCTCTAAGCAACTCTCAGGACCAAAGAGCCAGAGAGGGGAGGGTGATCTACATAGATTGCCACCCTTAGGTCTACTTGCATTTGCCTCTGTGTACATAAGTACCTGTGTTTGATCTACAAGACCTGCTCCAGAGCTGAGAAAAGGTTGGGTGCAAGTTGGGGAAGAACTCTGCTATATCCAGAATGACTTAGTTGGTAGGAAATTATGGAACAGCATTCTGAGTCCCTCTCATGTGCGGCTTAGTTAACAGATCTATCTCCAATTGCAGCTATAGCCAGGAGGGGAAAGTCTAGTGCCACCTACTGGATAGAAGGCAAACTCCCTGGTTTACATAAGAATGACCAAATGCATTCTCCATGAAGGGCACGCATTTTGAAAATCTTGTCAACTTCAGTGTGAACTTTTATTACAAAAAGGACCATTCTATTTTATTTGGGACAGAGTGCTCATAAGCAGATCAGCAGACCTAGAGTAAAAAAATTCTTAAAAACTGGGACCGTGGATACTTCTGCACTTAATCCATTGCTTTGGAAAATTCCATATCCAGAGAGCAGGATTTATTGCAGGAAGGGATAGAATAGGGTGTGACCAAGTGGGGAAGTAGCACCTCATCTCTTTATTGTATCCATTAGCATCTGAATAACAACCCATTTGGAAAGAGGGTTTCAGGATAAGTTTGCACAGAGGCTAACACGTTAGATTTTGGAACCCAGCAGACCTAGATTCAAATTTTAACTTTGGCACTTATTAGATGGGTAACCATAGTCAAGGTGCATCCCTTCTCTGAGTTTCCTTAACTGTAGAATAGAAGAAATATTAAATAGAAGTACCTAGTTTGTAAGATTTTGTGAGGATAACAAAGTATTCAGCTCACTTAGCCCACTCAAAAAAGTAATTTTGAAAATAGTTGCCTCCACAAGAAAAACATTTTAAAGTGCTATTTTGAAAAGATTTTACCAGATAGTTACATAAAGATATGAAAGACACAGCTCAGACTCTCAAAGGAGCTTGCAAACTGGCAAGACCTGGGAAGACCCATGTTTACGCACACAACTGAAGCACAGCTTGATGACCATCCCAATAGAGGGGTGGGAAACAGGAAGAAGCAGTGAAATCTGTTTGGGTTGGAAGCAGAGAGGTGATAATTGGACTGGGTTGCAAGGTGCAGAGAACTACAACCAAGATGGACAAGAGAAAGAGAAAAGCAGGAGTAAGAGCCTGAAGGAGTCAGGCAAGTAAAAGATGTATTCTGGAAAAATGGAGTTGTCTCATGCAGGGCAAGTCAGGAGAACTTCAGGTGGGTTGAAGCTCAGTGCATTCAAGACCCATAAGAAGGCACAAACCTAACTGACAAAGGCAAGAATGGGGACAGACACTCTGCACAGAAGGGTATACAAAATATTCTATGAGTAATGGGCATCAAGTTTTTCCTTGATCCAGCAACCATTTTTCTCTACTGAAAATGGCAACCTGGTTTTCCTTGGGGTAATAATATACATACTGAAGTTTTTATCCCTGTTATTTGGATGACACATATCAACTAACCTCATGCCCATTTCATTTTCAAGAGGAGTCAAGTGACCCAGGCCTGGACAATGAGTATATTCCATCTGCTTGACTGCAGTCGTTGATAATGTTTGCTAAGTTGGTCCAATTAAAGTGAAACCTTAGACTGCTCAGAAAGCTGCATTTGATAGCTACAAAAAACGGTGAACCTAAGCTGCCAGGAGTTTCCACATGTCCAGTTATGAGATAACAGAGAATGAAGGAAAGCAAAGATATGGAAGGAGAAAGGCTAAGTGCTGCCTGTAATTGAACACCTAGATCCAGCCATCCATGATGGACTTTTCAGTTCTTGGACTTTCTAATAAATCTGTCTTATAATTTAGGCCACATTAATTGACATGCTACCACTTTTACTTAGCAGATTCTTAACCAATAAAATACTGCTGCTCTTAAAAAAAAAAGTTTGCATTTTATAACTCATGTGGCTACCTCACTGTTGTAGTTGATACATACTCCTAAGTGTTATTAATACATTTCTCAGCAAAATCAGTATTTCTCTAGTC